TCCACCAATCTTTGTGTTATATACTTTGATAATTAGATTAAGACGTTAATTGTTTGTTCTAGGCTCATTTAAGAATAGCGAGATTGATCAATAATTTACACCATCAAACTAAAAGTACTTAACTAAAAGTACTTCTTGTTGGACTCGTTTAAAGTTTTGAGCAAGGTGTTATGACTCTTTTCATATAACTAATCTACTGGGACTCTTTTCTTTTTGGTTAAGATTTAAAGTTGAGTGTTGAAAGAAAATAAAAGAAGCTTAAACAAACTAGAAGAGTTAGAAGAAAATGGAAAGAGTTAGAAAAAACTAAAAAGAATTGAAAACTATTTTAAAAAAATATTTAAAAAATCACTCAATTAAACAATCACCCAAATAAATATGTAAGAAATTAAAACTAAATTTGAATATAAAATTTTTTTTATCTTTGTTGGTATTTGAGGTATTATGTTATAAGTTTAGATCAGGAGTAAATAGTGTTACAGTATAATTATTGTATGTAAATATATTTTTTAAATTATTGTTGGAAAAAAACTAAAAAGAGTTTAAAAAAATTGAAAAAATTGAAAAAAAGTGATAGAAGTTGGAAGAAATTGGGATATTTAGTTTATTAATTGCAGGTACCACCAAAAAAATTAGAAGTTAATTTTTCTAACCAAAAAGACAAAGAGAGAACTTTCTAGATAAGAGTAAAAAACTACTCCGTATAAAATTACCAAAACAAGGGCCATAAGTCCTTTAAGACTAAAATAAGAGTTCACACTGTAACGCCCCACGAACCGGTCTAATAGTTAGCCAATATTTTAAATAAATATTAGTCATTTATTGGGACTCGCTATTTTAAATAATAAATATTGAGATTTTGATCTCATTAGATGAGCTTCAAAAGTTAATGTATTTTAATTATAAAAAGATGTTTTAATAACGGGTCTCTCGACATTAATTAAATAAATTAATGATTGGGATGGATCCGTAAGTTTGAAAATAAAGTTTTGATAAAAAAAATTCAAAGATATCATAAATTTAGTTTTGACTGTTTATTTCCGAAAACGCAATCGGTTTTCAATTCGGGCAAGTTCAGGGAAAATGTGTACCACTCAGATCAGAATTTACACAACAGAGTGAGATTTAGGGAGGTAACTCCCCAATAATAATTCACGCACCACCCCATATCTCACCATTCATATTCCCTCTTAATTTCTCATTCATTTTCCATTATTTCCCATTAATTCCCCTTTGAATATAAACACCCCCTCTCCCTTCATCTCTTCACCATATGTAACCCCCAACACCATTAACACACAACCATCCAACTCCCTCACTCTCCCCCTTCCTTATGGACGCCGGTCAGTAGAATTCCAGGAGACGACGGAGCTCCGGCGAAGAGAAAGAAGGAGAAGGACGACAAGAAGAAGGAGGTGCTGATTTTTGGAAGCAAAATCCCGTCAGTCTACTTTGGGCAGAATTTCGACCATCTTCAACTCACTCTTTGGTCGTGGTTTCTTGACCAAAGTCGTAGCCCTGCGATTCGGTGAACCACAGCCGCAAACGGTTTGTCAATCGGACGAGTAACGAAGGTGATACAACCGTTTTACCAAATCTGGTCTAGTGGCGACGGAAAACGCGAGGTTTGCAACTTCTGCCCCCATTTTCATTCCATCTCATCCATTCCGCTATTCTTTTGATGCGTGCCGACTCTTCACATCCCCTATAACATATTCGCAAGAAGAAAAGAAACTCAAGAAGCTTTTTAGAAGTCGGAAGGTTGACGGTTTGACGACCGTTTGTTGACGTTGATTCATTCAGTTCCTTTAATTGACGTTGTGTCGTATTCGATGTATGTACATCCTAGATATAACAAAGGAATCTTTAATATATTTATATGCGAATACATTTGTTGTTTATATGGTTATTTGTATATAGATTCATACCATGTTATGTTCTTAATCTATTAAAGTTCCGTAGAGAATAATGAGGATTAGAAACCGTTATGAGATTGAATGGTTATACAAGGCTAAACGGATGTTTGACTCAAACATAAACAATAAGGATTTTGAAATAAAAGTGGTAGAACGGTTAGATTATGAAGAATATGATTAGGTTTGAGGAAATACCATTGAATATCGTAATAGCACCACTTAATACATATAGGTGTATGAATTTGATATATAAATGAAAACGTTGGGAAACACCTAGACTACATTTAGACGATTACATGAACATGTAACTCCATGCCCGAATATATATGTGTTTTATATGTATGAGCGAATGTGTATTTGTTATTTTATATGCTCAACTACTTGGGATAATCTACGTTGAATCTGTATGATCATAGTTTTCTCGTTATAAAGATATATGGTATGACACTCGTTAAAAGAAAGATATATGGTATTATAATACATACACATATGTGGATGTATTATAATCTTGAATGTTCATTATAATTCTCAGAAGGTTGAACGTAATTCGACAGACCAAAGTCGAACCCGAGTACTGTGATAGTAGACTGTCAAGTTTTGATAATCTACTCTCAAGGGCTATTGAACTTTGATAGTCGATTATCACTAAGTAATAATCGACTATCAAGGGCTGCTGAACCTCGACAGTTGATTATCACCAAGTGATAATCGATTATCAAGGACTACTGAACTTTTAGAAAGGTCTGAAATCAAAGTGCTTTCACGGTAAGAATTAATAATTGAAATATGGATTAGAAATCGAGACTTAGCTTTCAAAATAAGTCTTCGGGATCATAATCCAAGCATGCTCACTTAAGTCCAAAGGTAGTATACCATTCATAACATCATATCATCATTCTAGACGCATGTCGTAGGATTATGGCAAACCATTGCATACCACGTTAAGAGATTAAGCCTAGTGCGCCTCTTCCGTGGGCCCGTCCAGGAGCCTTCGGGATCCAACGGGTTACATTCCATTGCATACCACATCAAGAGGTCAGGCCTAGTGCGCCGCTTCCGCGGGCCTGTCCAGGAGCCTTCGGTATCCAACGGGTTTCACCAGGAGGGCTTGTGTATGTACATGGTATCTAGGCTTTCAGCTATCACCCACATTTTCTAGTCTCCTACAGGAGACTAAGGCGTTCCTCGGCTCATCTACCGTGTGGGGATGATCACCAAAGGGCAGGGGTCCCTGCGCAGTCTAACTCATGCATCATGAATCATTTGACATTGCAAAGTTTGTAAGTAATTATGCAAATCTTAATTATCAATTTGTGTGTGTTATTGCGAAACATACCGCACTTCATATCCAACACCGTCAACGACAAGGCCCAGGTATTTATATTTGGATAATATTCCAAAATGAATCTCCATGATATGTATACATGTATCTTATATCTTGTGCTATCTACTATGCAAGCATGAAAACTTATGTGGTCAATGTGATGCATGGTATTTAAGTATAATTATGTTATCGATCTCTCGCGTTATCGTACCACTCAACTTTATGCTGAGCGTGTAGTCTTCTTGTCTACACGTAGGTTGAAGCACAGATTATGTGAACCACCCGGAGGACGAAGAGACGATAGGATGGCAGGTTGACATGCATGATTTTCACAATCATTGCATTTGAAGTTGTGGGTTTGACCCACATCATTGTATTTGTATTATTTAAGTTTTTCGCTATCTTCAACATTTTGTAAAAGGATCGATCCAAATTTAGTATTTTGTATTTGAATTTTTGTTTTATGTATTTTATTTAATGATTTGGAAAAAGTTTTAAAAATATTTCTCCCGTTTCACCTTAATTATAATAATTCCGGGTTATACGAATTGGGGTGTTACACACACTGTCATTGTTAAACTAACACATTCGGCACATTGTCACATTGTAACTGCCACACTATCACCACCATACGGCCATCTGTCCCTGCCAGTCACCTGAGTGCCGTTGCGGATCACCGACGGTTGGCCGATCACACTGACATATTACAGTGTCATCATTTTTTCCAATGCATTGCCAACACATACTCTTATTTCACACAACCATTATATTTCTATTTTGGTATTAAAAGATTTAGAACTCTCATACTTTTTTACTCATATGTTCATACTTTTTTTACTCATATCCAGGGAGACTTTCTAAAGACAAAGAAATTATAAAAGAACTGGTCTGTTCTGATTTTGACCGAGTTTCGCATCAGGCTGAGTACGGAACGAATAATGCACACTCCTAACCATGACTTTCTTAAACGAGAGGTCACGAGTTTGAATCGAATAGAGACAACAATTATTTGTGTGCTTAGATATATTGAAATAGTATGTATAAATAGATATTACGTTGTAATAGTAATTAATAATAATAATAATAAAATATTGGCTATATATTCACTCTCATTTTGGAAAATTCCACACTTTTTATATTAAATTGACTATTTTATCCTTAAAAGTACAAAATAAAAAAATGTATGCACAACCCAATTTAAGCATAAAATGTACATTTAACATAAAAGAAACAAAACTTAGGGGCTGTTTGTTTCAGCCTCTTAATGGTTCAGATGTCTAAATGGTTCAGCACTTAATGGTTCAGACTGTTTGTTTCAGCCTCTTAATGGTTCAGGTGTTTGAATGGTTAAGAGATTTGCCTCTGAATGGTTAAGTATTATACAGAGTCTGAATGATTAAGAACTTTTATCTGAATTGATCAGACATTTGCTTCTGGATAGTTAAGCAATATACTAGCTCTTAATGGTTGAGAACTCTTATTGGTTTAACACTTAATGCTTCAGACCTCTTACTGATTTAACACTTACCTATTCAGAAGTTGCCAAAGAGCCCCTGGTTTAAGTGAGAGGAAATAGAACACCTAAAAAATTTAACTTGTAAGAAGGGAAAATAAAACTTAGAAAAGAATTAGGAGTCCAAAGTCTCTATTTACATGACATCCTCTCTCTTTTCTTTGACTAATTCATTCTTTCTCCTCATCCATGATGATGGTAGATTTTTGAAGCCACTAAACCAGGAGTTCAGCTTGAGGGTCGTTTTCGCGAGGTTTCTCTTCAATTGCAGAATCTCGGCACCCTGACCTGCATTGCTCAACCAGGCTCGCGCGGCGGGGGAGTAAGGATTGAGTTTATTGGACCAGAAGGGTTCAAGAATGGCGGCGGCGGCGGAATTAGGGCAGAAGACGGTGGAATTCTCGGCGCTGGTTAGCCGCGCGGCGGACGAGTCCTACCTCTCGCTCAAGGAGCTGGTGGAGAAGTCCAGGTCCTCCGTCCTCACAGATTCGGACAAGAAGATTGGGATTCTCCAGTACCTTGTCAAGACCCAGCAGCGCATGCTCCGTCTCAATGTCCTCGCCAAATGGTGCCAGCAGGTTAGTGTTTATACTCTTGTATCGCTTGAAGCTTTCATCTTTCTAAATCTTTCGAAAGAAGGCGAGACCAGAAAGACTGGATCATTTTGATGGGCAGTTATTGTGTTGTTCATGCAGTAGTGTTTTCAATAGCCTCATCTTAACCTTAGCTGTTTCATTTTAAAATATGATAAAAATGTAGGGGATTGAACATAATGGGTTGAGTGAAGATATAGGATATTGGATAATGAAAAGATTTGATGAGGAATGTTTGGTTGTCAAAAGTTGGTGCAAGCTAGGTGTCATGATAATCTGAAAGGAGAAACTTCAATGGTTTGAAAGGGATTTCATTTGCTCTGGATATACACCACAATGCAAGAAAGATTACATAAATAGGACGTGCAAAAAATTCTATGAACAATCGATTGGATGCAGGTGTGGAGAAAAAGTTAGAACAACTGAATTTATAAGGAAACTGAAATGAGAGAGATGGAAAACATAAGAGAGATCCATTATAAGACTATTTCATAACATTGTGTTTTAGCGTGCTGTAGGGCTTTAATATTTGTGTTTCTTTTATGTCTAGAAAGCTAGATGCTTCTAAAGCATTCATAATCACGATGACTTTGCTTTAGCAGGTGACATAGATTACTTTTACCTTCATTGGTTTGTACAAATTTGGTATCTTTCCTCTTTTCATAATATAATAATATTAAATTGCAGCCATGTCGTTATGACCTGACCATAATTTTCCAGACACCACATAAATTCCTGAAAGTTGCAGTACACAGGCCGCACCATTTAAATGGAATATTTGCCACTCATCTTAGTCTGCCATCCACCATTAATATGCCTTTTCAGGAAAGGCCAAGGTCATTGTGGCTTTGTGGCACTCGGTGAATTAAGTCAACATCTAAAATTTTAGAACACTCAGTTGTGCAGTACATGGAGGTTATTTGCTATAAACTTTGTGCAGAAGTGGCTACGAGATGGTTACATTTAGTTCTACCTTATTCAAGTCATATTCAAAGTTTTTTTTAGCGTGAAATGAATAAATATTTTCTAGTATAATAAGTGGTAGAACATCTCAATAGACTAATGATGAGAAACTTTAATGGAAAGAGGGAGTACATTTTAAGTCCACTTTTCTACTTGAAGAAAATCTCTGCAAGTCCAAGAATGAAGATAAATCTCTTCAAGTCCAAGAATTGAAGTTATAGATACACAACTTTAAAATTCTTATCTTATTTGATGTGGTTGAAATTTGAAAAGTTTTCATTGGCTTCATAAGTGTGTGAAATCCTGAGGTCATGGATTTAGGATTTTTTTGAATTTCTTATGAAAATTCATTTTATATGTATAAATTGGACAGGTTCCCTTGATACAGTACTGTCAACAACTCGCATCAACATTATCGAGTCATGACACATGTTTCACTCAAGCTGCAGATTCATTGTTTTTTATGCATGAAGGGCTACAACAAGCTCGTGCTCCCATCTATGATGTTCCTTCAGCCACAGAAATTCTTCTTACTGGATCGTACTTACGGTTGCCAAAATGTATAGATGACATGAGCATGCAGAGCACACTAAATGAAGATCAGCAAAAACCAGCTCTAAAGAAGCTGGATGTACTTGTTAGGTCTAAACTCCTTGACGTTTCTCTTCCAAAGGAAATTACCGAAGTTAAGGTGTCCGATGGTACTGTTTTGCTTCGTGTGGATGGCGAATTTAAGGTTCTAGTTACTCTTGGTTACAGAGGTCACTTATCAATGTGGAGGATATTGCATCTGGATCTTCTTGTTGGCGAGAGAAGTAGGATGATAAAGCTCGAAGAATCACGACGACATGCACTTGGAGATGATTTGGAACGGAGAATGGCCAATGCAGAGCATCCATTCATGACTTTGTATTCTATCATGCATGAGCTTTGCATTGCACTTGTTATGGATACTGTTATAAGGCAAGTTCAAACACTTAGGCAAGGAAGATGGAAAGATGCTATTCGATTTGAGCTCATATCTGATGGTACTGTTGGGCAAGGAGGGACTGCTAGCTCTATGCAAATGAATCAAGATGGAGAAACTGATTTCACTGGTTTACGTACTCCTGGCTTAAAAATCCTGTATTGGCTGGAGTTTGAGAAAAGTTCCAGTGACCTGGGATCTTGCCCATATATAAAAATTGAACCAGGTCCAGACCTTCAAATAAAGTGTCTCCATACCACATTTGTCATTGATCCGGTGACGGGAAAGGAAGCACAATTTTTCCTTGACCAGAACTGCATTGACGTCGAGAAGTTGCTACTCAGAGCAATCCGTTGCAATAGATATACTCGCTTGCTTGAAATTTATAAAGAACTGGTGAAAAATACTCAGGTCTGTCGAGCTCCAGGAGATGTTCAACTTAAGTGTCAGAGTGAAATTGATGCTGAATACAAAATGGTCAGTCATTTCACATTATATTTTATTGAAATAGCTACATAGATTAACTCATGATTTTGAAGTTTCAACTATTGTTGCCTTGTTGATTTTCATTTGGCCTTTTAAGACAATTATGGGCCAATTTATTTATTTCATGTTCAAGTCTCTTTTGACTCAAAGTTACAGAGGCTATTGCCACAACTTCAATAGTTTCTTTAGTACAAGTGCTGTTTCTTAAATTTTTTGATGCATAAGTGCCTTTTCTTTTCGCAGAGGGATGACAAGATTGGACTTGGGAAATATGAAGGTCAAGAAGTCTTGCTTGTACGTGCCTATGGATCCTCGTTTTTCTCTCTCGGAATAAATATAAGGTTTTCTCATTACCACCATTATCAGAACCTTAATTCCTACTAGTTGGGGTCAGTGGCATAAAATTTATAGCTCCAATGAATTGTCTAAACTTAATTAACAATGTAAATTAACAGTGTAAATTTAGGCAAAACACATGGTTGCTAACTTGAAATGTTTAAAGTGGATGCCTTATGGTGGCATCCAACATAATTATGGTTAATGAGAATCATCATCATTATCTCCACATGGATGAAAAACACTACAAGACATTCTATGAGTTGAGATAGTTGCTTTTGTTTTGTTCATTTTGTGATTGATATTGCAAAAAAAAACATACACAATATATCCACTTTCGAAGAAAAATGCACAGAGACTTTACCTCTACCCAAAGTTTAGATAGATTGTTTCAAGAAGAGCTTTGAAATTAGACATGAAGTGTGAGGAATGTAGTAACTCAAAGGAGCACGAAAACAAGGAAAACACAAATGCACTAACATTTACCCAACAACATGACAACATCAAAAATCAAAGAGCTAAGCAAATCATCAGCTACTCATCCCATGTCTTATGGAACTGAATTGGTTCTCACTCACTCACATCTGTCTCGCACCACAACCTGGACTTAACTCTCACACATTTGTGTTTTGTCTTTGTTCCTATAGAGCTTCATCTCCATGATCAACTTTTACTCCTTGAACATCTCTGCAATTTTTATTGCAATTTCAAGGATGATGTTAAAAATGTTTCTCTTTGCAAATTTTTGGATGATGTTAAAGACGGTTTGATGCTAGAGATAGTTCTCTTTGCATTTTTCAGGATGATGTTAAAGAGGTTCCTCACCTTGTGCCTTCCTCCCCCCAAGCACCTCCACACCTCAATGTTGTTCTTATAGCATATAACATGACATTCTTATCCATCGTATGCCCAGTCGCTTGATCACAAAAACTAAACTCATTATTCAAATTATTGCCTTGTTATGACTTGTTCACAAAAATCCATTTTCTCCTCTCCGGTGCGCCTCCGTAATCCGTGGTCACCATGTGAGCAAATCTAAGACCATTAGCATTTTCCCATTCTCTATATTTCTCAAGCAACAATTTCCAGATGGTAATTTGTGAAGCCTTACATGAGAGCAACAGTCTTGGGATGGTAACGGTAGGGTTTCTTCACTCCACAAGTGGTAGGGGCTTGTCTCTTAGTAATATTCCAACATATTAATATTAATTAATAAATTACTCCCTTGTCCCAATTTAAATTTCTCGTTTCCTTTTTCACAAAGTTTAAAAAAAGGTGAAATTGTGTGGTTAAGTTTCATGCAAAGGAGAGAGAATTAATGTGAACTTCGAAAGGAATGATAAATTCATTTTGGGGAAACCTAAAAAGGAAAGCGAGACGTTTATTTTGGGACAAAGAGGGTAATTAATAAGAAGAGCTATAGACAAGAAACTGTTGTGGAAGGTGAGATTTAACTCCAGTAAATTGTAATTGTTAAGGTTTGCTTGCTTGATTGTCAAACTTAAATTGCAGCACAATTGCAAGGTTCAATATGAATTAGGAAGGCAAATCACAGTGCTATTTTCCTATGATAAGTAAATAAATATTCCCTGTTTTTTGTGAACCAATGAAGTACTGTTTGTGAACAAGCACCCGGCGTACCATGGGTTGGAAGTTGGAACACCTTGTTGCTCTATATTTGTGACCGCGGTGGGGATATGATCTGAGCCTATTGCCTAAGCCCTCTCCATCGTCTTAGTGCTACCCCCCCACTCCCCCATTGCTGATACATCCACAATGATTGTTGTTGCGTGGATGATGATGCTCTCCTGCTCCCTCTAAGACAAAGTCCCTCTCCATAGACTTGTTAAATAACTTGAGAAAATACCCACCTCATCTCTTTGATGCCCTCATCTTTAACCAAAATCCACTCCTTGTTCCTCTTGCTACTTACAAGACCTAAGTATTGAAGCTTACTCTCCATAGCTTTTGCTAGTTTATAAATATGAATCCTCCCTTTGTTCTCCAAATGCGTGTACATCTCCTCAATAACCTTCACTTTAGAGTCAAACACCACTTTTTTGGCAATTTGTTTAGCACTTTAGCCTCTTACAGGTGTCTTTCATCTTGCTACCTTTATTCCCCCAACCAGTATTTATTCAAAACATGTATGTTTAATCTTGACCTTACGCCTTCTTTTCACCACAAAGACCAACATACAAATATAAAAGTATCTAACTTAATTTCAACTTTTTTCGTAGTTATGATCTTTAATAAGTTCCTCATCTTATATTTCATTTCCTCGTTGCACTTGAGTTTTGGTATTTTGTTACTTTTATATATCATTAGATCATATTTCTTCGTTGCATCTTGGTGTTTTTGTTATATCTCAGCTCCGGGTTTTATAGTTAAAACCTCTTTATTTGCAGGGAAGGGGAGATAATCGATTGTCCTGAGTGGATAATCGATTGTTAAGGGCTTCAGGTTCTTGGGCGGTTTTTTGGGGATGTTCTGGGAGGGGGGATAATCGATTTACAGTAGCAATAATCGATTATTTGACAGTTTTCTGGGCAGGAAGAAGGGTGTTTTTGTGGGGAATGGACTGGAAATATATGGAGTTGATGAGGGAGTTCTTTTGGGTATTTTAATGGAAGAAAAGAGTGTGATTAAGAGGAGAAATGGGGAGGTATGAAATGGAAGAAAATCAGGGATGGATAAACCAAGTTGGTGTTTAAGAGATATTACACACTCTTATCCTAACTTGGGGTTTGAATCTAGAATTTAATTAAGATATGACACACTTAATCAAAATCTAGAACCTAAAACTCACACTTAAGATAACCACTCTTAAGATATAGAATTAGGAATTTGGCTAAAATAGCATCACACTATTTTATAAATACTCAAAGAGTAAAAGGAGTTTTTTAATAATTCAGAGATGATCATTACAAGGGCCAAATGGCCGAAATATATAAGGAGGG